TATCGTAAGATACATATCATCTGAGTCTTTATTGTATGAGTGTATCCGTCTACACTGCTTCACTCATGCACTGACTGTTTGAGTGTTTGAATTAGCTAGGGTTTTGGGAAGTGATTAAGATACCAGTTGGGAAATGAGTTTTATTGAATCTATTTTTGTTGAGGATAACATTCTTGAACCTGGAATTGTTCTTGCGTTAGTTGTTGCACTGGAAATGTGGGAAGGATAAAAGTTGGAAGCTTCAGTCCTTTTTTTTTTTTTTTTTTGGCGTGGGTATATATTTTTTTTGTGGGCTGGGAGGTTCTTACATTTTGTCTTGCTATACAATATCACTAGGATCATCAGTGTTCTGATTTACAGACTGAAGTCGGAACTATGATATATTTGATGATTGAATGGTGATTAAAAAAATCACATAGCACTCATGGAGGCGGCAATAGGAAAAGCTTTAGAACTGTCACTTAAAGATTTTAAACAGAATGCATATAAAAATTCGAACTAATAATGTGGATATATTGATTTGAAAGTCAATTGGGATGTTTTAAGATTCAGAAATGCTCCTTTACATGACATCTATGCTCTGGGAATTTTAGTTCAGACTAAATCAATCATAAGTGACCATAAGTCTTGTTAGATATATGTTATACGTTAAGTCTGAACAAGATTGGCAATAATCCTAATGCAATTGTGTCAAGCATATGTTTCCTTGTTCACCCTACATCACTGCCTAATGGCATAGAATGCTGTGCATTGTTCATTTATTTGGGACAAAATTATGCAGTGTTTTGTTATGATTATTTGGTTGGTTTCGCTTAGGCATTTAGCCTCTGCATAAGGTTGTTTGAACAAGAGACTGTTATGTAATTCTGACTATTTTGCTCTTCAGGAAAATGACGGGCATAGAGTATATGCTTAGTGAAGTCATGGAACCGCACCTTTTTTGTTATTCGCAAGCAAAGAGAGATGGCCCTGAGAAAGTTACGCCGATGCTAGCTTATTACATCTTGGATGGTTCAATATACCAAGCACCACAGCTATGCAATGTTTTTGCTGCTCGAATTGTAAATTCATATTTTATATTATTGTTTGATTTGATTATTAGAATTAGAAATGACCTTGTCATTTGATTACTTATTTGCAACAAAATGGATTTCGGTGATTGTGAAAATAGCAAATTTCCTTTGTTAGTCCTGAAACTGTTTGACTTCTGTTCCTTCATATAAAAGCAGTAGCAGCCTATTAGGTTATCAATCTGAATGTCTAACCACTGGAAATTGTTCATGAGATGACAGCAACAATATTTCAATTATGCTTTGTCCAATGAATTCAGTGCTGTGTGCTATCCTTTTCTCTTTTTTGTTAAAACAAATTCTGAGAGACAAGGTTCTGTTCATTCCTGGCTGTGATTGATCTTGCAGGGAAGGGCACTATATCATATACAGAAGGCTTTTAGTACAGCTGCATCGAAATTGGAGAAGATAGGATATGGTAAGCAGGGTTTTGTGGGCCTTTTTAAAGGGGGGTGGGGTTTAACATAGGACTGTTACTCGCTATGATGTGCTCCATTCAACTGTCTTAATTTGTTCTGACAATGAGTATCGCAGTGCCATTTTACCCTCTCACTCTCTAGCTTCTGTCTTTCTAAAGAGAATAAGCTTTCAACGAGTTTGAGCTGTTGAGATATTTGTCTATAAATTACTAGGTTTAGCATTGTTAGATTCTGAATGTAACGTTTAAGCCATCTGCAACTATGTTATTGCAAGTACACAAGGAAATGCAGCTAGTGTTACTTTGCCATCTAGTTATCTATGCCTTTCTTATTACCCCAACACTAGTGTTCTGCTTTCCCATGTCTAACCATTTACTTAATAGGAATGTTAATTGAACTCTGTTTCGTTTTTCTGCTTCAGTTGATTCTGAAAATGAGCCTGCAGTGCCAGAAGCGAAGGCTGATAAAGAGACAATTAACATAAAGGAAGTTATGCGGGTGGATCACATTCTTGCATCCCTACAGCGTAAGGTATGTTGAAACGATGCAGGTTTTCCATGCTTCCCTCCCTATCAAACACTTGTTTAGCGATTGGAATTATCTGCTTTTAAAGGGAAAATACAGAAAACAAAAGGAAAAGGTTTAAGGGGAAAAAAATCATGTTCTTAGTATCTATAAAATCAAGTCGTGAAATAATTTGAAATGAACGTGCTGGTCATCTTCTGTTAGCCTTTGTCCTGTTGGCAATATCGCTATTGAACTGTTGTGAATATGTCAAAGATGGTTTTCGTTTAAATTTCCATTGAGTACAAGTTTCATTGTTCTGAATTGGTCCATAAATGTTATATCTCACTTTTAATCTGAAACACAAAATTTTGGTTTGTATTCACTTTTTATTGCTATGACTTGAGTATTATTAATTGTCCATTCCAGCTGCCTCCAGCTCCACCTCCGCCACCATTTCCTGAAGGCTACACTCCGCCTCCAACTGGGGAAACTGAGAAAGCACCGGAAGGTCAAGAAGCAGGAGAGTCTCAAGCTCCTCTTATTGATCCTATAATTGATCAAGGACCTGCAAAGAGGATCAAAGTTTGATATAAAAGAGAGAAACTGCAATTACTATGGAGATTTTCCCGCTAAGAAAAGGCCGTTGTTATTAACCGGTGGCCTGTGGTCTCCCTTGCTAGAACACGATGAGCTTCATGCAGCCCTCTCTTTTTTTTTTTTTTTGGGGGGGGGGGTTGTTGTAACTCATGTTAGATAACAGATGATGTTCTGGTCCGGTGTGGATATTATCAGCTAGGCTCACTGTAATTTGATAATATACTTCGGCATCTGAAAGTGCATAATTGATAGTATAACCAGAATCAATCTTGAGTTCTGGATAAAGTGTCAAACCAATCATGAAAGACCAAGTTTGTAAAAATTATATCATTTTCATGGAAAAATGGTCGCCTTAGCATTTTGACATTTGGAACTATGGTTGATCTCGATTGACTGATAAAGTTGCAGGGTCGTTTCAAGGTTATTTAGGCATTGGGTGCCAAATGGAATGTGGAAATTGGAAGATTAAACCAGGGAAAAAGTTATGAGTAAGCTACTGCGGCTAAAAGGTATCCTATGTGATGCAAATTTGCAGAGATTTTTTTTTTGGGGATCAAATGGACTTTTTTGTTTTTGGTTTACCGTATGAAATCACGTTGTCCAAGATTATTCACATGAAGAGTCAAAAAGTGGCATTACATTGAAGTGCTGAGTGAGAGATAGAGAGGGGATGATAATTGATAAGCTGTGAGCCAGAAGGCAGCATGAAAAATCAGAGATCTCAAAGCAAAGACTGGTGAATAAAGATCGGTGGAGGCAGCTGGATTTTGATTTTTATTGTACCTTTTGAAGCTGCAAAGCAAAGGCTGCTTTTCAATATAATATTCAAATATGATTTGTCTTTTCCTTCTGGCTGGGTGAAGGCAATCAGTAGGTTTGGTATGTGAAACAATTTTGTCCCCATGATTCAGATTCCCTCACCCTCACACAAATAAAATACTTATATAGATTCAAAGATATTTTTTTTATTTCTGTTCTCCTCACGACGCAGCTAACATTTAATAATGAAGGGTCGAAATTGAAAAACACAAACTGATCCAAAGTTTGTGTGAATTTTAAAAGGCCAAACATGCCAGTGGTTGTCATTATCTATTAAAAGCAGAGGCACTCTGTATATTTATATGTTATCTTTGGCTCTTGAGGCTGCCTTTTGGTCACTAGTCGTTGCCCCTAATCACTCCCTATTCCCAGGATTTATCTCTCACACAATCTTACGCCCATTTTGTGAAAATGTGAGCCAATCAAGTAGGTGCATCTTCATTGGCCATTAAAAAAAAAAAAAAAAAACTGAACAACAAGTAGTCATTTTACCTAACACAGTTAATTTCAAACAAGGGTTTTTCTAACAAACGTGTTATTTTGAAAATAAAGGTTTAAAAGTATTTAGTCAACATCTAAAATGTTAATTTCCGCATTTTATACCGTTAATAGCATGAAAATCAAAAGACTAAAAAACACTTTATAATTAAAAAATAAAAACAGGCAATCATATTGGAGGTAATGTTGAACACTAAATATGAACACCTCTTCTAAAAAGAATTTAAATTTTGGTTCATCACATTGTAAAAAAACCAGCTCATTCTGCTAGATCTAAACTTGTTGGCTTCTGTGAAGTTAAACCACTAGATGCCCAATTTTGCCTAACGGAAACAGTGTGATGGTACATAGTTTGGCGGTGCAGGCGTGGGGGAAGGGAAGGGGACAAAGATATAATGCATCCAATTTGCCGAGGCATCCAGCTTGCTGAAAGAGACTCAACATCTGCAAACTGCTCTCCCTTTCTCTATCAAATCCCTAATCCACTTGTTTTCTTTCATTTCACTTTCCTCCTATTTTCTCATGTCAACTTGTTTCTACGCCAAGCATTATTAGCCACTTCTTTCTCAACTTTTATCTTCCATTTTTAAATATATTTATAATTTATGAACCATATAATCACAACGCAATCACTCATTAATTAACGTCTTATATATATATTTATAAAGTACGCGTTTGATTCATGTCTGTTTGGACTATATATGCTCCGAAAGAATTAATTAATTTGTGTTCCTAGCGTATAAATACGGAGGAGCATCACAGTCTCAGTTCTTACTCTAATATTCTTCACATACTATAAATTTATAAATTTAAACTTATAAAAGTATCTCTAAATGAAAATTTAAGTCAATATAAAATATAGTACTACAATTTGGCAAGACATATTATTACAATTTTTTTAAAGAACTAATTTCTTCGTTGATTGGTGTGTTATGAAAACGTTTTTCTTTTTTTTTTTCTGAAGAATTATCTCGTTTAAGATCCGACAATGGTCGTACCTAACAAGTGATCCCAGATACTTAAATTGTGTAAAAAAACCGACTCCATTTTTTTTTTATATAACCAACTCCATTTCTTATCAATAAATAAATCCTCTTACTTTTTTTTCCCCTAGATATAAGTATCCTTTTATTGAAAATAATCTCGAACATTAAATGTGGGTACTCCTTCCCAAAATTTTTTTTATTTGAAGCATAACAAATTTTATCGCATTACATTATATTAACTACGTGGATCTACGATATTATTTGTTTGAAGCAATATCATGTTTGAAGCATTAATATTAATAAATATTTTGATTCTTAACATATGAATTAGGAGTGTTTGGTAACTTTTAAAAGTACTTCTAAAAAGTACTTTTTCAAAAAAGAAAATAAATTTTTTTACATATTTACTTTGTAAACCGTAAAAACACTTTTAAAATTAATTTGATTTCTATCCAAATACTTTTTAATTTAAAATTAAGCTTAATATTAAATTAAATATTAACAATATTTTTTATCCTTAAAAGAAAACTATGGTGTATGGGTATCCTCTTTTGTCAGGAAACCAAAAAGCATGGTATCTGCGTCCGAATAATATAAGCCTCTAAATTTTAGGAGATCAAAGTCAAAAGTCGTACAAATAGAAACCTGTTACGCTTATCCATCGTACGTGTAAAGATCTGGCGCATGAGATCACACGCGCTGATTAGGGATCGCGACACGTGTCCGACGGCAATGGCTGGGTCGATTTACCACCTTCATGGTTCTGGCAAAAATATCAAGGGCCTTGTAATAACAACACGTGTGGGAACCAGCTTTGACTCGATGCCACGTCACTGGGCCCCACAAATCCGGGATATTATGACGATCCAACGCAATGCTGACTCAGACATGATAAAGAATGAGTTCCCCCCGGCCCCACGGCCCCACATATCAGCCTGAATTTCAGCTTAAATATTGCAAATCATATTACCCAATAAATTCTCACATGTTTTTTCTATTTTTATTCCTGATGATTTATAATTATATTCCCTCTAAGTTATAACATTAGATAAAATTACTTTACTTTCACTGATGGATATTTAATATTTTTCTTTTTTATATACATTTACTTGATATTTACTATTTTTAAGTTCTGGAGTAGAATCTAGCCCAGTCTAAAGAAATTTTTAATATGATTTTTGTCCATAAAATTCGAATCATTATTACTATTGTTTAAGTCAGGGGATGACATGTCTGTCTTTTGCATCTACAATAGAAAATGAATATGATATAGGTATAGTGCGTTAGGTATATACATTTTTTTGCCCAAACATAGAAAAAGATAAGAGAAAACTTTTTTTCAAGTTAGAATTTTATGATTGTGCCTTTTTTTCTCAATTCTAAAGGGTTAGGATAAATATGCAAATTTACCTTTTAATATTATTTTTCAGGTACTTCCAACATATAATATCTCTTTAGTGGTATGATTTTACTTATTATTTTTTTGGTGTGACTGAAGATCATGAGTACAAATACAATGCACTAAAAGATCATTAGTGAAATTACAACAAAAAAACTGATTATAGCTAAAATTGCATAGTTAGAAAAGATCAGGATATTAGATGTACTTGATAAATAAAATCATGATTAAATTGGCATATTTATTCAATGAATAGATTGCTAATAAGGAGAAGAATCAAAGTTACAATCTTCACAAAAAGCGTCGATATTTAGTACCTTGAACAAACTTTCATGTGAAAGACACCTATACTTGACATGTTGAAATATTAAGCTTTATGTATAATCACACTCAACTTTATTTTTAAGAATTTGCATGATATTTATGAGAATAGTCTACTTAATTTTTATTTTATTGAAAAAAATAAAATTTACAGATTGCCTTGTGTCCCACAAATTTAAGAATTTTTAAATAAATTTATACCCGTTTAGCTCTCATATATAAAATGAGAAGAGAGAGAGAGAGAGAGAGAGAGAGAGAGATTTTTTTTAAAAAAGAAAAAACGAAAACGGAAGAGATGCCAAACTCTGAATCCGTAGTTCCTTTGGACTTGTCGTGAGATCCAAAATATTGCGGGGAGCAAAACGGTAATAAAACATAATTTAGATACGGAGCTTCGTGTTGTGATTTTTTTTAAAGGAGGAAAGTTTGTGAGATTTTCAGGTAAGGACTCGGGAACTTCCAAATCTCAGGGAAGGACTTCCGGCCGATTATAAATAGCGACGATCTTTCTCATCCATATCCAACCAAAGCATTTACTTCATCGTCTTTTTTCTCTCTTCTTCTTCTTCCTGCTTCGCTTTTATCGCCGTTTTCTCTCTCTCTCTCTCTCAAGATGACTATTCTCATTGATCATGCCGATCTGCTTGGTAATTTTTTTCATCGAATCTTCTCTTTTTATTTCTTCGTTTCATCTTCTGAATCGTTTTCCTTGCGTTTCGAAAATTTATGTTCTGTATAATTGCAGATCGTTCTGTTTCTGGATTTTTCCCCCCTTGATTGCGATCGACTGGATATTCGTTTTAAGAATTTCCGGTTTAACGCATCGATTTACTGCGTAAAATGTCTATTTTCGTGTTCTTTGAAAAAAAAAGTAGCCGATCAGGCGGCGATGATTTTGAAATGTGAAATTTTCCCGGAAAATGGCAGGAATCGAAGCAGAGCAAAAGAAGGCATCCATAAATGAGAAAGAAGTGGGATTTGTGGTTCCACAGAGAAACTCATTTGGCCATACATTTAGGTTCCTTTCTCATTTGCACACTTCATTATTTTCAACTCTCTTTAGTTGAATCCTTTCCATTTAACTTGACATTTTCCCCTTCTTCTGGCCACTCATACAGTTTTGATTAAATAATTCTACCTTCTTGATTTAATATAAAAACTAATGGACTAATTTAAATAAAATTAAAAAAAATTAATTTAGTTATTTATAATAAATATGTGTTGTTTTTTTTAAATATCTTTATTATATTTTTGATAATAGATTAATACGAGAGACAAAATGTATTAGAATCTTATAATTATAACTAAAATAAAAGTCACATGTGCCGGGTGGTAATAAAACATAAGTAA